ATTGTCGTCTTTTGCCTCCAACTCACAAGTAATGGGCGCTCTCCGGTCAAAGTTTCACAGATTTTATTGATTTGCAAAGGTTTTCAAAATTCTATCAATGTCACGTGAGATGCTCCTTTTTCGGAGACATATATCCCCCCCTCTCTCTCCCCATTTTGGCAGTTATCATGTTAAGGAATGGCGCATATGCAAAGCAGATTTCAATCGAAAAAATCGTGCAATTCTGAAGTCAGTTGAACTAACATGATCACACATTCCTAGCAGCTGTGCAAAACACATTATCCTCTCACTTGGGGCGATTCCACGTTCCTTCATAAGATTTACAGCAAACCTAAATTGAGTAGATTATTTGAAGCAAAAAATGATCGGAATCTAAAATTTGAAAAGGGCTGCAAATTGTTAAGTATTTCCTTAAAAGTTTACACTTCTTCACCTTGTTGTGTCCTCATTGTGACTGGCGATCATTACCGAAACAGATCCTTTCCCTCTTTTTTCGTGTTCGTCGGCAAGTCGGGTCAAGCAATCATGATACATTTTGGATGTGCTCTACAGTAATTTCAGTAAAATGTACGTAAAAAGTAAGTAAAAAGCGAAAAGCAGGAAGTAAGTGTGGCTTTCACACATCACTTACCTCAAAGTCTGGATTTATTGGATCCGGATAACCAACGACAGCAGCGCGTTGACGTTCCTATCAAATTATGTTCTGTCTAATTTGAACTTGAAGGTTCATAAAATAAACCAACCTGCTCCATGTAAGCACCTCGTACGAGTTTTAAGCCAAAGTGCCAGCCTTCTCTTCGTGCCAGCTGTAGATCGCACTCTATCACATCTTTAGTGTTACGGAGATAAGCTTGATACGTATTGAAGATGTTGCCTTGTTCACGATTATACCTAAATTTGAGCAAAGAACTCCGAGTTATTGCTTTTTTTGACAACAGATTGCAGGGTTAAAGTATTTTTTGCAACATTGTCACATTTAGGTTCAAGGTAGAAAAAAACTGTTTTGTTTGCAGAAAAAAAGAATTCGCTATAGAGTATGACTGCAAATTAGGACTTATAGTGGAGATTGCTCTCATTTTGGGCTCGGATCCTTTAGAAGATTTAGAATTCTGTTTTACCAATACTACCGTTTTACTAGTCTGGACAGATGTTTCTTTTCTATATTTCTCATTTCTACGCTCAAATGGTTGACACTGAATGCTTATTGAGAATCTATTTGACCTGACCTGTTCATAAACTT